ATTTTTTTTTTTTGCAAAACAAACAAAGGTATTTCTTGGACTGATTAAATATCTACAAGTACTTTTTCTTTACAAAAATACATATATTCTTAATAGACTAAGTCATTAACAATGACCTGGTATTTCTTTCACTTCAATTTGAATGATTTATAAGCTAAATTTTACAACCACAAAAAGGTTTATTTGTATTAAGATGTTATCACTTTTGACAAAAAGCTTAAAATATCTTATATTTTAAAAGAAAATTAGCAACATAACTTTACAATATAACCTATGATCTTTTCAGTTTTGTGAGGGCTATTGTATTAAAAACTGACAATCACTCTGGTGGCTGACCAGATGCAAGGAAGCATTAGAACATTGGTACACCCTAGGTCCTTTCTTCTCCTTACTTGGATCACAGCTTTACTTAAGGTCACTTGGGCCCACCCCCCTCCCATCCCCATCCTAAAAACAAAACAAACAAAAAATTCCAAAGAACTACAGAAAACTGCTTTGGGCTGATCCCAGTATAAATTTTAACGTGTTGAACTCCAACTTCAGTGAACTGACGCACAGAATATTAACAGACTAAGGGATGAGATTGTTTAAATGTTTTTCCTAACACTACCTAGAAACATATACTAGTCAGCATCTGTACTTGATTAGATCTACGTCCCACAGAGATCTATAGAAGAAACGAAGAAAATTAGGTCTAATAATATATGTGTGTATATGCTTTTATATATACATATATATGTTTTTACTTGAGTAATTGATACCAAGTTTCATGACAACTGAGGCAGGGAAGAAATCAACTTAAAAGTCAAGTTTTAATGTGAGAAAAATGCATAAACAGATATACTAAGATGGCCATTACAAAGTTCAATCATTTTTTCCTTCCTTTTTTTTTTTTTTTAGTTTTCCTAAGTAAGATGTGCTCAATTCCTGCAGTACTTTATTTTAAAATACAAGGAAGCAAAAGTATTTGTAAAAACTTTATGTTGCCATGTTAAAAAGTCATCCTTTTTCATTTTTACTATCAATAATCTGAAAGTATTGAAAGCAATGACATTGCTTTAAGGGGAAAAAGCCATCAAACCCAGTGTGATAGATTTAAATGCATTTTTATGGACCTTCAAATTGGCCCTTCCCCACCAAAATATTACTAAGATAGGTCAAGTAAATCCAGAAGGAGTTGGGTACTTTGTGCTTTGGAAGGGTTGTGAGTCTGACAGCACACTTTAAAATGTTTCTTTGTTCAAAAGCCAGCAATGGCAGACACTGCACTCCTCTCTCTTGGCTTGGTGACCTCATCCTCCAATCATAAGACTTAACGAATTCAAATTATGATCATGTCATTTCCAAGCTTTCCTGATTCTCAATCAAAAGAATAACAGTTATACCAACCACTTGCTTTCTAAATTCATATAACCAGCCAGCCAACATTTGGCTGATACACAATTTACATTAACTGAATTATCATTACACTCAAACTACCATGTTTTTTCATGAAAGAGCAGAATTTGGCAAGAGGTATACCCATCATGGCAGCCCCATCTAACATAGTTTTGAAGCTTAGAGACATCAAAAGGTCTGCATAAGACGAAAATTCCTCCTAGAAGCTGGTCAAATCCTGAGGACAAAAATACAATTTGGAAAAATGGAAAAGCCCTTAATTGGATCCCTATAACAATAAAAGTAATTCTTCACCAAGTTTTTTGTTTTTGCCTTTTAAGAATAAAATACAAGCCCCTTTATGAAAAGATATGATTTTTTTTTGGTGGCAAAAATATGTAAGTTTTTCTGAAAATCAATCAGAATACCATGCTTTTTGTTTAAAGGTTAAGCATACCAAGTTCTTTTACAGAGCTTGCACTCAAAATATTTTCCATGTCATTTGACCAGGTAGTTAACTAAATACAAATCTAGAACAGATCTAGAACCACCGGGGGAAAAAATGCTTCTCGTTTCAAAATTTTAAACTTTGACTTTGAACTTTACTGTGAAAGAACTAGCTCGAGTACAGAAGAACAGACTTCAAGCTTCCACTCTACTATGTCTTTCTCTTTATCCTAATTCAGTCCACCACTTGTCACTTCAAAGAAATAAAAATTGTGCTCATCTCATTCCCATCTTTGGGGATTTATTTTACTCTGTAAAGTAGTGTAGTTTGTTCAAAGAAAACCTATATATGACTTATCTCACCAAGCATGTTCAGTCTGACGCCTTTCTTTGGTGAATTTTATCGCAATCAATCAAGGTTATTGCCTAAAAGAATAGAAAATTTATTCAATTCCAAACTTAATGTTTCCAATCTTTAAAGTGTTAAAATTGCTTTTCTCCCAACATCATTACCTAACAGTAAATGTGTCTTTGGTGATGCCTATTTAACATAAATCTTTCAAAAAGAAAATTTTCTAAACATACCATTTTTTAAAAGTACTATTTAAATAATGAAACAATTCCTAGGAAACACAAACCAAAACATCTTCTTACTCAAAGTTTATGCAGTAAATCTAAAAGACAGAAATGTAGTTTTAGCAATGAGGCACTTTCTCTGAAATAACATTGTCAATAAAGCTAATGAGTTAGTTGCAACATCACATAAGATATACATCTGTTGTCCTCCCCCGCCCCCCCCGAATCCACTGAAATTTAGTTATGTATGTGAATGCCATATTTAGGCATCCTTCATTTACAGATATAAAATGTGGCACATTAGGAAGAGAGTTTTCAACACTGACAAGGCAAATAATGCATTTTCCTTTATAGTTAAAAAGACATTATTCAAATTTTTCCCAGGTTCCACAAGAATACCTCACCAATGTACTTTATATTTTACTCCCTCTGTTTCCTAACAACCTCTAGTTAATCTAACAAAAGTCCAATCTGTCAATTAACCCTGTTTGCTTCAATTAATGAGATGTCTGTATTCTGCAAACACCCTTTTTAATTTCAAGCCTCCTGGACTTGACCATATATGTACATTTATGGTTTTCCCCCAAGGCAACTAACAAAAAGGTTTAAAAAAACCCAAAACTTTCTGGGACTCAAATTCCTTTAGTTTATTGCTTAGTTTGATTGAATAGCTATTAAGGAATTTGTTATGTTTCAATTTGTTCTCTGATTCTATTAACTGCTGACTGATTTTTCCATAGAGATTATTTGTAAGAAGAGATTAATTTCATGTGTATCCTAAAGTTGTGTAATAAGCCTTAAAAAATCATATTCTAATTTTCTGTGTGTAACTTCTTAGAAGTTCAAAAACCTGATTTAGGGGAATAAGCATCTGGGGATTTACAGTCTTATTAGATGTGCAAATAGTTTTAAACTACAGTCATTAAAAAAAAAGTATCAGAACAGGTGGAGACTACATCATGTATCTATTTTAGAGGCTGATGAAGCTGTGAAGTTCAAGTCCATCATGTGATATTTTTGTATTACTTATGTCGTCCTTAAAATACGTAACTAATCCAAAGTATCTGCTTGTCTTCTTATGATATTCATCTTTCCCCCACTTTTTCTTTTGGGGTGCATACTCTGACATGTACATTGTAATTACACTTAAAAAACATGCATCACAACATTGATATGAAATGAAGGAATTTTAGAATAAGACTCTCCTAATGTCGTGTAGTTGTTCAGTAGAAAAATAGCCAACTAAATATGATTAAGTAATGTTTAGAACAGCATAAGTTTAAGTAGCTAAGAAATCAGGTACGTATAAAAATGTGTTTAAGGCTATGCTTCTTGGCAGAAAACACAGAAATAACTAAGTTTCCTATCTGTAGTTAAAAAAAAAGTTCCCTAATGGTTTAATTAATAAAAAATTATTTTCAACTCTGAAATGTTGTTTTAACTACTGACCAGGCTATGACAAATTTATGCTGGATTTTCTACTACAAGAGGGGAGTTAGGCAGTAGAACTTTGCAGCAAAGCAAAAGAATTTCTTTAGTTATTTACTGAATTCAAGAGGGTTTTGTTGGGCAAGGGTAAAAATCTATTTCTAAATATTCAAAGACAAATAAATGTCCCCTTTCCCCCTCTGTTTGTTTAATTTGCTTGCAAACCCTCCCAAAGAACCACCAGGACAAATGAAAGCCTAAAAATATTGCTATTAATATTCTAACAAAGTCGGAATGAATAATTTTTTAAATCAAAAAGTTCTATCAAAGATATGTTAAAAAGGACTTATGAAGTTATAGCCTTTTATATACTGTAAAATATATTAAGATTTTAGCTATATTATAACTAGTACTAAGGAGCTGATTCAGAAAATTTACAAGCTACATTTTACTGGAAATTTTAGTATACATACAGTGCATTAGACTGTGTTTAACACACAAACTGCTCATGTCAAATTTCTAAAGCAGAGAGTTTATTTACTCCTACCCTTGAAGTTTCCTCCCCACCTGATTAAGAAAACAAGTTGATTTGTTTTCTAATTATTGATATAACTTAGCTTCTTAAGTAATTTTCCTCTTTTTTGAATACCAATGTAATTTTTAAGTTACCTAAATGGTGGTTGTAGATAAAATGATACAAGCTTTATTTTTGTAGAATTACCGTAAGATAGAACTCTTGATTTACAAACTGATCTGAAATGAATGGAAGGTTGCAAAGGACATGTATCTACAAAAGCTATAAAATTAAGTATGCTATTTTAGCTCTAACTTCAATAAAACTTTATATATACATATATATATATTATATATATATATATATATATATGGCAAATGTCCCATTTTCTTTGATTATTAAAAAGGATCTAAAATGAAATCCCCTTAACCACTGATTTTGGTTAGTCTGCTCATCTGCCATATCACATTTACCTTTGTTTTTTAAAAATACTGTTTGGAAATGTGATAGCTGACAAAAAATGTTAATATACAATTTTCTTTGAGACTCTTGAAAACCACAAAAATTTCTAATGTCATAACGACTACAAATTCTAACATTTAATGTAAAGTCATCATAACTCTTTGCATGCCACAACGACACACACCTAAGGCCAACTTTTTCAGAATGTACTATAACTTGAATAAAATCAAATAGGGAGACATATATAAAATGGGAAATACAATGTAGCTTCACATCACAGCTCCTGCTTGTCCATAAGGCATTATGGAGGGAGTAATAACTTCACTTACACACTGACGTTGTAAATGTGATCAGCTGCCAATGTCCTGAATACTTATGAATCTCACTTTAGTTTTTATATATGTTACACAAAATTACACCCAGGAAACCAAAAAAGGCTTTCCAGAGCTACTGGTAGATTCTATTTAAACAACTAAAAATTACTATAATTATGCTGTGTTTTAATGTTATCTGAAAAATAATTAATATTCACCGAAAAAAGGACTCTTGTACATGAGGAAACTCTACTTTTACACATGGGACTTTTTAACAAGAACAGGACAGCGGCATGTAACCACTTTTCTAAGTATATTTTCTATACAAAATAATTCCAAGATATAATCATTAAGTTCTCATACAGTACTATTATTTTAAACAATAATCAATAAAGTAGCAAATATGTGAAAACTGCAACACCACAAAGACTGAGCACTGCCATTTCCTAGTGTAATCAACGTTGGTATTAGTACAGTCTTGGAACAGGCGAGCAAAATAGTCAGCAGATAGAATCTTGGTGATACACTGGACTGGTTTCAGCTATGACTTACAATGCAATGGCTGGACAGTACAGGTATCTTATGCAGAGATTTCAGTAGCAGAATGGCACTTGGTTTGTTCTCAATAGAAATGACAAAGATGCAGTTGACAATTTAAAGAAAGACAACGTTCTTATTTGCATGCTGAAATTCTAGTTGTGTCCCCTAGTCCGACACATCCATTCATTGTGCAATCTGTCGATGGGTAAACAAATAGTGCAGGATTCCTCTCGGTGGGATTTATGCCCTTTGGTTTAACCAAAATCAATTCTTGGTCGATACTGCAATACCATGGGGTAAGACTATAAAATAAAAATCAGACAATGAACAATTTATAATTTAGATTCGTATAAAGTGCAAATGATATAGTTCATTAAACAGTATCTATTCAAGGACCTTGAGAATTTTAAATTGTAAGTTATAACTTATTACTAGATCTGTCACTAGTAGCGATTATGAGAATTAAGCCAGAAACATTCCTTATTAAAATTTTTTTTCTAGACTTAGTTTTTTTTCAGATGTTTGTCTCCCATTCATTAATTACTTTTCCAAAATGGTAGAGGGTTGGGGGAATTTTTTAATAATTGCCTTAATTTAGGCAAGTTTGGATTCCCTTTCCCAAATATATATATTTTTTAAATTGAAAACACTACTACTCAAATGTCTACCTAGGGCAATTTAGTTGCAAGACTTAAATTTCAATTAGACACTTTCCCCCTCCTCTATGATTAGGAGTAAGAACAGGGCCATCAAGGGCTTCCACAATCAAAGACTGTTCTATTTAGTTAAAGTTCTGATTTTTAATTTGTCTCTGTGGCCTCTCTGTTTGTTTTCCTTCCCCTCCAACCCCCAGCATTTACTGATGGTCTAATACGGTACTTTATTAGTTGTTTTTCTTTTTTTTAAATAATAAATTAGTATCTGGTTAATTATTCAGTTTGATTAATTGAAAACAGTCAGATAAAAATGTACAATAAAAAAGACAACTTCCTAAAGGAGGCCAGCTGTATCATTTACAAACAGAATGTAAACTACCTCTTTAATATCAAACCACCTTAGGATTCTATACAGTATGGTCAAATTAGATAATATGACTTAAAAATTTTTGTGTCTGTTCTAAGTCAAAACTAGATTCCTCATGTACAGTGTTGGGGGCCTCCCGTGTGCCATTTATAATCAAGTTCTTATGGAGTTCTTTTTCTCTTCAGCTCGCCCTTCAACACAATCATTTCTAGATCTGCTCTTTTCCTGCCTCTGGAGAATCACGACAGTTTCAACAATTAAAGTTCTCAGGAAACACGGGAAGAAAAGGTGGCAGTCTCCTTTGACTTGTCTGAAATCAAGCAACAGCTCCCACAAGTGATGAGCCATGAGCTCTTCCTACTTTTCTGAATGGGGCGGGGGGGGGGGAGGGGAGGGATTTGTTTTAATTTGACCTTAATGTCTGTTTGTTCTACAATAACAAAGGGGTTTACTGATTTTGATCCAATTCAGCAATGCTACAAAAGAGTATCAAAACACACCATGAATTCGATTTGTGTCTCAGGAAGTCACTCTGAAACAAAACTGCAGTGACTGAAACCGAGTCAGCCATTTTGTAGTGAAATGTATATGCAGGTAGACCTATGGAAATGTCATTAAAATAAGTGAGGTCTAACAATTCTTAAGACCAACACTTTAAGTCCTCTGTTATAAGTTAATGAAAAATATAGTCTAATCAACATAAGTTTCCGCTGAAAGATTAGGAATCTTGATTTAAATGATCCTACTATTTAATCAAGTATAGTAAAAGTTTTAGAGAAATTTATCTATTTTACTAGATAAATATTTTTACTTTACATTTTTTTATTTAACTTTTGGTTACCAGGGCTTATGAGAACTGATTATGATATCAAAAGACTAGGTTAACTTAGCTGCTTACTCTTGTTTGACCTAGGCAGGGCCCCGTTTTCCTTCGCAGGGGACTTGAACTGTATTGTAAGGTTCTTTCCAAACCCCCATTCTAAGAAAATGTAAGTTCAGTTTTCTAACTGGTTTGTTTGCCACAAGTTTTAAACACTATTGGTGAAAGCAAGGGAAGGCCTAGTGGATACTCTTTAGATACTCAGTTTCGCAGAGTTTCTCTGCATAGTTATCAACCTAGGACCAACTTTAACTTATCTGTAAGGTTGTAAGTAGGAATAAGGGTTGAGGAGAAGAACAAAGACCTACAGTGAACTATCATCCTAAGGCCAAAGGTGTACAAATTACTTTCCACTGGCCTCAAACCAAGTAGCAAGAAAAGTGGGTTTTTTTTAAACCAATAGTTAACCTTTTTTTAAAAAAAATCTTTTTCTATTTCAGACTAAAATACTAAAATGGAGGCGTGGTTATTTATAGGTATAAATGAAACGATACCAATGAGCAGCCAACCATTATTATTCATCCATCTCTTCTTAGGATCATAATAAGGTTAGAAAGGGAAAGGACAATTTTTTAAGATAAGTTTACCTTTCTCTCAGTTGGTAAAAAAATAATACCCTTCCAGTCCAGGATTTAACTCCTTGTCTAAATGGTTATCTTTATTATGTTTACCTTAATCCTCACATATACACAATAAGGAGAGCTTTAAGATGAAAATAAAGGTCAAGGAAGACATAGTATGATATAAAATTGTTTTAAGAGTATACTATGGAGGACAACAGGTATGACATGGAAAAAAACAACGACAACGGGGGACAGATCTAATAATTCACAGGAGAAAGCAATTGGGAAAAGAGTAAGGAACAAAGCAAATGTGACATTTAACACGAGAAATCGCCACGATATCACTAAGACTTGGCAGCAGAAATAGAATAATGGACAGTGCATTCGATTAAAAAGAGACATGGGACTGAAAAGGAAATCAAATAACCTAAGAAGGTTATACCTGATAGACGGCCGTGGAAAAAAATGGTAGAAGAATAATACAAAGCAGATGACCAGAGGCTCTACAAGTAAAATCGTCTCAAGACAGACAGAGCCAGAAACAAAACAAAGCCAGAAACCCAAAATAAGACTGATGATACAAATACAATGATCCTAATGAAAAAAAAAAAGCGCAACAGTCATCTAAATAGATTTATGTGGCTGCACCGCACAGGGATGAGGGGTGGGGGTGGGGTTTGCTGAAGAACTCCAATCTTAAAGGGATGTGAAAAAAAGATTTAAGGAGGCACAAAGGACAAAAAGAAACGAGTGGCAAGACCAACGGATGAATAGTGCCAGGGGTGGCAAAGTTCTGAATGAGCCCAGGGTTCCACTCCACCTGCTTCACTCCCAAAAAGCTAAGAAAAATTACAAATTTTCTTCATGTGTATTTTCAATGACAAGGATAAGTCATATTGGAATGTAGCATAAGATTAACTAATCTCAAAAACCTCAACTATCCAAAATTTCGATTTGCCTTCTGTTTGGTTATCTACAAGGATTCACATTAAGTGACCTTCACAAAGGTAAAATAAACATGCTTAAGAGGGAACTGAAACTTAAGATGAATGAGAAACAATAAAAGATCAAATACCTTCTTTAAATGTGTTGAAGTCATCTGATCCAGATGAATGACACTACAAACATGACTGAAGAACCACCGTCAATAAACTTTGAGAAACTGTAAAACAATGGGACAGGTACCAGATAGGTACCAGAACAAGGCAGCAGACTGCTGCAGGAGGTGGACCATGATGCCTGTCCCCCGGAATACTCCAAAACGAACAGTGGGTGCTCGCTGAGAGGCGGCACGGTTTTTCCCTAACAAGTCATGCCAAACTAACCTCAGTTCCTGTCTTGATAGCATCAACTAGACTGAGAGATCAGGGAAATGCTGCAGAGCGTGTCTGGATTTCAGCAAACCACCTGACAAGACTTCGAGGGGCTGGAACAAGGGGACGAAAGTAACAAGATAGGGACAAATGGAGAGCACTGCCCATACTTATGTTAAAAGTCAAATGCTCAAGTACCAGAGGGAAAGAGATGTGGCTTAACAGTAGCTCCCACATGAAGAGGATGGAGGTGCTCTGGTTGAGAACAAAGGCAGCAGAAGAGACAACAAAAACGTATGACTCAGCTGCTAAAAATGTTCATGCAACTTTAATTAACATGAAGCAGAGCGGCTCTATTGTGCAGTCAGACCACAACTGGAACCTTCTTGGTAGGAACAGGCAGAAAGCTGACCACTGGGCTTCCCTAGGTTATTGAGAATTCAGGGCTCACGTAGATGCTCTGCTGCTTACCTATTGCAGACAAATCAATCAACCTCACTTTGACAACGATCGCTGTCCTTATCAATGGAGGCCGATGCTGCATATAAGACCTAGCCAGTAAGGCCCATTCCTTGCTAGGTAGCATTTATACTAGACCCTCTGAGTATGGCTAAAGGTTGATTTCCCCCCCTCCCTCCCATGAGAGATGTGATTTAAAGTTCCTCTGAAAAACCGATTAGTTTTTTAATTCCTTATGTCTGCACGTATCCTACACCTGGCCAGGGCTGCTGATACTGCTCCAAGGAAGACACATTTCTCTTCCGTGTCCCAAAGAAGAAGGAATTTCTACTTGGAGGGCCCTGCTGACCTACGACAGCTAAGCCACCAGTGGGTTAGTAAACCAGGGTAAGAGTGAGCTCTCTTCTTCTCTGACTGCTGTCTGAATTACATCCTAAGGCTAACAGCCATTAAGAGGAGGAAACAAAATAAGGGAAAGACAAGGACGGTGTGTCCAACTTTAAGATGGACATTGACAAACTACAGCATGACCTAAATAACAAGGGGTCTGAAAACCATGTCATATATGGAAGTATTGAAAGAACTGTGCATGTTTAGCCCAGAAGAGGCCCACTAGCTGCTATCAATTTGAAGGACTGTTATTTGAAAAGAGATTAAACTTTGGAAGAGGGATTATGCTTGGCTGTCTCCAAGGTATAGACTTTGGATCAACGTGAAAAATAATTTTATAATTTCTTGCCTTATGAGGAGGTGAGCTCCTTGACACAGGAAGTGTTCAGTAAGAGGAAGCCGATCACTTGTCATGGCTGTTGTACTACCATGGGGTGGGCAGTTGGACTACATTTCTAAGATACTTCCTATCAGTAAGATTTTGTGGTTCCATGTTCAAACTACTTATGTCTAGCAAAAAGGGAGAGGGCTCTTAGAAAGCAATTAATTAAACATTTGGGCTCAAGAGCCCCACTCGATAACAAAAAAGATTGGTCTGAAATAGCAATGCGTGGATTTTTTTCCTTGGAGCACTAGACAGGCACTGATTTGGAGTGAGGACCCCAAAACCAGAAAATAAGAGATGACTTAGTTAGCCACTAAGTGCTACAGAGTAACAATCCCCACGATTTGATGACTGGGAGGTGAGGACGGGAACAATATTTTACAGAACCGCAGTTTTAAGATTCGGAACTATTTTCTTTTGGGATCAAGGAAAATTTTACAATTAAGTCTTTTCCAATATCTTTACATCTACTTGGTCGGGGTAAAATTTTACCTGCTAGAGGTAGATTAAATGATAAGAGATGACAGAGAGAAGGAAGAACTGCTATTTTGTTTGTTTTCTCTTCTAAGAAAAATGATCCCTGGAATTGAAAGGATAGAACACAAATGGTTAACTGGGAATGGAAACCTCAGAGGTGTAAGGAGAGGAAGTCCCTGAACTACATATTCAGGGTTTTGAAAGGCATGACAGATGTGACTGCCAAGCCAATCTTAGTGACCTCTGAAAGATCATGGAGCACAGAAGAGACGCTATAAGGTTGATTTTTACATCAGAAAAGAGTTAGGAAGCTATAGGCCAAACTATAGATCACTTCGACTAAGACTGGGCCCCAGTGATCATGACCTTCATTCCTGAATAATTTTAGGACATTTTATTAAAGGGAATTACAAGTGATTGTCTAGAAAAGGAAGGAATGATCTTCTAAGAGACTGTATGAATTCATATAGAACAGGCCATGCCAGAATAATTCTATTTCTTTCTTCTTTTTGAAGGCTGACAGATCAAGGGGAAGCTATAGACTTATTTTACCAAGATCTCAGCAAAGCAGTGTCTGACAGGACCTCTGGAGGTATGGTTGTGGATGAGAGAGATAGGATTGTAGGTGATAAATACAGTTAAGATTTGGAACTCTTAAGAATGACTGGGCCCAAAAAGTCAACTTGTTGGGAGGCCTCAAATGCACAGATGAAATGCAGAAGACGAAAATCCAGGAGATAAAGATATCATGCATCCAGAAGAACCAAGAGGTTAGAACAAAGAATAAAATTTAAATAACATGAAATTCCACAAGGAAAAACGTAAAGTTCTGTACTTGTTCAAATGATCAATTTCCCAAATATAAGATAGGAAGAGGCCTGGATAGACAATAAGCTTCACGAAAAAGATCAGGGTGCTTTAAGGAACTAGTGTGACAATGTAGCTGAAAAAGCTAATGCAACCCCAAGTTCCAGTAAGAGAGGCACAGTGCCCCAAATCCTGGGGATGACAGCGTGCCGTGCAGTAGGTATCCTGATGTGTTCAGAATACATCTGGAGTATTATTTACTAGGGTGCCATAGGAAGGGTACTGAGAAACTGGAATGTCCAGAGGAGAGCAACCAGGATGGTGAGGGGCCTCAATACCATACCAATAAGATAACTGGTTGAAGGAAGCAGGGATGTGTAGCTTTGAAAAGAGAAGATTTTTAGGGGAAATACAACCGCATTTAAGGATGTAAAGAGATGTCATGCTGAATAGGGATTAGATTTGTTTTGCTTGGCTCCAGTATGTACAACTAGAAACAAGCAGTGAGGGAAAGCTGCAAAAAGGTTAAATTATAAGCTCATTAATTAAGCTATCTAAAGGAATGGACGGTTACAGTAGGTATTGGGTACTGTCTAACTAGAAGGTTTTAAATGAATGCTGAATAACAACGTTTGAAGGATGTTGTAGAGATTCTCACTCAGGCACAGGTGATGGATTAAATGGCCTCTGAGACCCCTTCCAACTATGAGTACCTATAATTCACATCTGTCCACAATTTGATATTTTATCTTTTTAGTCATCTGTGCATGACACACAAGTCAGAAAAATGTGTACAACTTACAGAATGCTTGCCAAGGGTAACATACAGAAATAGTTCATGTAGGTTGAAGCTAGTTACTAGTAAAATACATTTATTTATTGTATAGCCTTAGAATTTATGTGCAACTTCATTTTTAAAACCTCAGCTTTGCTGTAATTCTATAGAAATAAGTACAATGATTTGAAATGGTTATAACCTATACATTGATTTTATAACCCAGAAAGTATCAGGATTACAAAGCTACACAAATTTCAGAGTGGGTCCTTATCATAGAGATATTCACATATCCTTAATAGCAATAACATGTACAGTCGTGAGTGCCTCTTACCTGATAAAAAGGGCCATCCTGTGAGCGGACTTGCGAAGCTGAGCAGTTCAGACACCGAAACTGCGGAGGAGATGAACTGATCAGATAAGAGGCATCCACAACTGGACACATATTTACAACTAATCATTTAAAATGTTTTACCTTCCAACATTAGACAGACATAACTTAGTTTAAGTAGGTACTTTCTAAGATGTGGTATGTCTTTTTGAAAATAAAATTACTTTCCTAATTCAAAGTGATTATTCAGTTTGGCCCAGCGAGTCCAAATTTTGTCTTATACATCTAATAAATGCTACTTAAAATTACTAGGAGAGGCAGAATGTGATCAGAGAAGTAGCCATGGGGTCAGAGAACTCAACTCATGCCCTGCTGCTGACACATATATTGGCTGTGTGAGACCCTGGGGAAGTCACTTAACCTCTCAAGAGTCTTGGGTAATTCTTCATGAACAGTTCCACATATGCATTGGTAAAGGGAGTTTCTTCACTGGAAGGGCCCCACTCCAGAAAAATCAGGGGTCTGCTCTGCCAAAACAAGGTACTTTCTACCAACTTATCCTACTGATCTCTTCTCAAAGAAAATCCTGCTAGGGAAACCTGACTTCCTATGTTCCTACTTTTGTCAATTCCTTCTTAGTAGGTTCAACTCTACCAAGTTCTCCTTTCCTTATAATTTATGAATTTTTCAATGGATTTAGTCATACAATTGGATAGCCCTGGTAGCTCAAGGTTCTGAGGAAGATATGATCCTTGCTCAGTCATACCAAGAGCTTCATGTCGGTCACTTTTCAAGATTGGGAATGAAGCTCTGCACATGCTTAGATTAGCTTCTGGCGTCTGAACACCAGGCTTGAATACATGAGATATTTCCCTGTTAAATAAATCATCCAATAGTCGTTTATTCACTCAAAAATAAAAAGTAAACCCCATCATGATTTTCATTATCTATACAATTTGTCCTACATGTTTTCTAACCATAAATGGCAATTATTTCAATAGGATTATCAAAACAAACAAAATGAGCATTCTGAACCTATCCAAATAGTAACTTAACTGATCTGTACATATATCTCCAATAAGAAAAAAAATATGCGATAGAACAATGTTTAGGAATGAGGCGTTTTTAATGGATTGTATCATATGAACATGATTTTTAAAAATGGTTGTTAAGTTGGGGAAGGAATAAAATACAAATATGATTATGGTACCTTAACTTGAATTTCTTTGTTCCTTAGAGAATTTGCTATTCAAAGGACTTTAGGGAAACAGACTTTGTAGTCATTGATTATCTAGGCATGAATCATGCATATACCTAAGAAAAACCTTCCACATGTGGCACTGCTGGTCTCACGGCCACTTTCCTTGCTAACTATTGCTTCCTGGGAAGGCTTTCCTCCTTTAACTATCATCTTATTTCTGTTACAGTTTTTTTTTTTTACATATGTCTACATTATCACTCTGGCTAAATGTAGCAGTTAATATTAGCAAGATTTGATATGGGGTAGGTTGGGTGAAAGGACAGAAGGATGAAGAAGAAAGTATTTCCCTAAGTGATCATTCAAACCTATCACTTATGTTCTCTGTACAAGAATTAGCCCGTTCCCCCCCTTCCTTTATTGAAGGTGCAGTCTAATCAAGAAGACTTCTTTGCTTTTCTTGACAATATCATTGCTTCCTGATAGTACAAGTAAAGCAACTAAAAAGGGGCCAGGCACCAATTGGAGCCGAAGTGTCTAAAATCATCACCTAAGTGGGCATGATGCAGTGAATTTAGGCACTTCTATTATTATGTGAATAGCTAGCTCGTAGTCATTTTAAGTAGTTGGTTTGGTGTAATACTATTTTCAACTGGGTATCCATTTCCATTCTCTCGTCAGCTATTAGTTGAAAGTACTAGTACTACTATGGATGGTTAAGAGTAATTTATCTACAGCAGCAAGAAGCCCTTATACACTGGGAAATAATAAATGGATTTGAGGAAGAAGTGTAGCTTTGGTAAATGAGACAAAAATAGCAGGAGAGACTATGGAGAAGAAAGACTTTGATGGTTTAGAGGAGGTTAAAAAGATACTTTGGAGCAGCGATGTCAAACTAGTACAAACAGATAGATCCCTGCTGGCTGCATACTGACTTAGAAAGCCTCAGACTAAGATCATCTACATTATATTACATTTTTACTTATTTTCTTAAATTTTTCAATCACGTTTTAAGTTCTGACATCTCTGCTTTGGAGGTCTAATGACTGGCTGTCATTAGGGTTACCTTGCGTGTTAACTGGCATCTACTGCATCTGTATTCCTTCCTTGACCTCCCAATTTTATATAAATACAAGTTTGATTTTTTTTTTCCTTCTCTGGTTGGCTGTGGGTTGTTAGCAATACTTCTGAAACTTGCTCATGATGACATTAAGCTTCACAAATTTTTAAAAAACTATTATTTATGGTACCCACAAGGATTTCCAATGATTTTAAGGCATTTTTAAAACTATTCCATTTCTATCAAATACTAAAATTGAACAAACTTTTTTTCCTAAAACCAAACCAATAAAGCAGCACGGATTGTTTTTCTCTAAAAGTCGAAGTACATCCTGTGATATTTCCCCCTATTTTCAGAAGAAAAAAAACAGCTAACATAAAAGAAAAATGGAAAAGTTTAAAACCACCCAATAAAATGGATTCAACAGTAGTATCTAAGGATAGGTATTCTTGGAAAGATAAGTGGGGCAACTCACAATGTCAGAAAGATCTTAGGTTTACCAAATACAGTATTAGGCAGCATGATGAGGCAGGACCAGAACAAATTTCCTACTTTTTTATTCTTTCTTCCTGTGATTCAGTTCTGTTGTGCTATACATGAAATTCACTCACCATATGATATACAGAATTATATTTTCGATCACAAAGAGAGTCACTGTTTCACACTTGTATGACAAAATTCCTCACTGGCTTAAAGCAATAAGACTAAGTTATGGAATTTAAATGAAATTTATTGGGTCTTTCTGAACAAGTGGAGGGCTATACTGTTAATAACTCACTCTAGACACTTAGGTCTTTAAACACACAGCCTACCACTGCATGCCTGGCTGGGTCAGCGCTATGCACCATTCCCCTTGAGGATGCAAACTCTATATGGAACAGGGTATTGGCTGGATAGAATGAAGGTCTTTTGGCTCCCACTCACTATGCCAAAAGCTCTATAATAAAATGATTTTCTTATGTGGAGAATGGAATCAAACCGTTAACATAGCCAGATGTGGCCCCCAACTAAATGGAAGGGTTATTAGTGAAAGACAGGGTGCTGTGATGAAAAGAACTGACTTTGGAGTCAGAGGACCTGGGTTCAAATTCTGACTCTTTACTTCTAACTACCTTGTGTGACCCTGAGGTAGTCATTTATGCATCTGGGCCTCACTTCTGCCATCTAAAAAATGAAAGGGTCACACTAAATGATTGCTAGGGGTCTCTTTCAATTCTGAAACCTCCAGAGTCCAATGAATTCTTATTATCTGTGCCTCGTTGTCCTTGCTAAAGAACAGAGCTTTGAGATCTTAGGCAAGCTGTCTGACACCCTATAAAATTAGTAACTGACAAAATTATTCAACTGAAATTAGGGGACCATACCAGTTGAACTGCTTATGTCCCTTAGCCCTAAGAACTAAGAGGCTAAGAATGTATTCACTTTTTGCAATAAATTAGTCTTTATCCGGGAACTGATATTTTAATGATGCCGAAGTAGGTTCAAACAAAAATGTCAAAATCTGAGCTCATTCCTTTTACACTGGTAAGAGCAGGATGACTATAGCTTTAAAGGCACAAACTGCATTAATGCTTAAGGCAAGTTATTCTTAGAAATTGTAAGTGAAAGAGGATAAAGTCTAATGTTAATGGGAATAAAGAGGGCTTGAGCCAGTTACTCATCCCTAATGAATAGTTAAAGAGGTTCTCTAAATGTACCATTCACACTGAGATAGTATTTTATGGTTTATAAATTTCCTTTGCTTAAAACAATCTTGAAACATGATACAACAAACTCGTTTTTATTGTTTGTTCGTTTGTTTTTGGTGAGGCAATTGGGGTTAAGCAACTTGCCCAGGTTCATATATCTAATAAGCGTCAGGTGTCTGAGGCCACATTTGAATTCAGGTCCTTCTGACTCCAAGGCCAGAGCTCTATCCACTGCGCCACCTAGCGCCCTTAAACTAGTTTTTATTAACTCTTCTTTGGGCGAGGGTTAATCTAGGCACTCAATAGAATTGTACAACTGAAAAAGTGCTTGATTCAAGACTCAGAGGATTTGGGTCCAAATCCACTTACTACACGTGTGACCTTGTGAAAGCTATTTTGGGCCCCAATTTCCTCACCTGTAAAATGAGAGCACTGGCATTGCCAACATTAAAGATCTCTTCTATTACTAAGTCCATGAACAACTCAGAATTCAACAACTCTAATTATAAATATGTTTGGTGGACTGGAGCCAGCAAGTGTTAAAGAGGACGACCCAGGAAGATATAACCAAATTATTAGGCTGTTGCTTTTTGGGGAATGGCTATTGGAAACCAGGAAGATGGAGGTGGTAGGCAGATGCTTCTGGGCAGATAACTATGACCTTGATATAACAGCATAAATTAATTTCTTTTAAATGTATAGAAAGATAGAGGATAGGTAGAGGTGGCTTGTTTGGGGAAGAAATTTTATTCAGCATTTAGTCAAGAAAAAGGCATGGAGCTGAGAAGGGATGCTGGCTCAGCTGAATATAAACTTGATGATAGGGACCTTTTTGCATTTGTTTCTGCATCCCTGATGCCTAGCACATAATATCAATCAACTTAATAAATGTTTGTTGAATTGAATTCAAATTAAATGGACTTGGTCAGCAGAGAGGAGGACTCATTCAATGACAGGTAAAGGTGAGTTAGGAGGATATAAGGTAGATAGAGGCAGTATAAGGTGTCTTGTATTTAGAGCTGGAGGAGTTGAGTATAAATCCTGGCTCTGGCAACGGTTAATTAACTGGATGTCTCTGGGCAATTTATTTAACCTGTTAAAGTCTCAGATTCCTCAT